TCTAGTCATCAATCGCAACTATGAATGCATTGAAATACTACTAAACGAATAACTAAAGTCTTATTTTCGTCTACCTAGTCCTATAAGCGTGTTTATGTATATTTTTATGTAATAAATAAAATGTGGCAACCCTAGCCAACAGTGTGTCAGTTGATGGAAATGGAGTCGCGCAATGAAAAATTTTACGATTAGCCGGGGAGACAATTGCAGACAGATTTAATTTTATATCCGTAGGTAAACGATTTGATACTTTATCGTCGACCGTTAAAGTTTAATATCTTATGACACGGTTTATGTCTGGAAGTTTCTCGCAAAGGGTCTCTATCATGGTATCGCAAGACATGTATACGAAGTCGATTTCTTTCGTCGTATGCGATATTTGCGCGTGGTCGTAATGTTTTAAAAATGTTAAGACAGAGCGACTTGGTTTGTTTTATTGCAACACGAACTGCAATCCATATATAGCTTACAATTCATCTCAGAATACCTCATAAATAAAACTTTCTCTTATAAAACTTAAACTGAATCAGAAGTACATACACGGTAAGTTACAGTTCTGCAGTGGTAGAGCCCGCTTCAACATCTTCGCACGAATGGTCGTCTCGCCCTGTGAAATACCACGACCACACAGAAAACAGGCGTGAAGTAGACGCAATTCCGCGTTTCGTCTGATGAGTGTGGTGCCGGAGGCCCAATTTTAATTCCTTTCGGCTACCATCTTTTTGTTATAAGAAAAGGATTAGATGAGAAAGTGGATAAAAAAAGCATGTTATATTTACAGTGAAATGAATGTTTTAAAACTTATTTCCCGAAAGAAAATCCTATTGCTTTATTATTGAGCAACTTTGGTTTTTTTTTTAGTTACTATTGTATAATTTGTATTAAATGTAGGAAACCAGCAATTGAGGGAACAATAATTTTCCTGTACATTTGTTTGTTACAAGCCTCTGGTATGTTCATTATTCTAACATTTACGTGAATATGTGAAACATATTGCTTTCTCTGTCTGACCCGGGATTAAAGACGAGACAGTGTTATCATGATTCATACCAATGTGGTAAGCTAACAGATTGAGATTGATGCGTACGCGCATGGAGTATTAAGCCGCAGGATAGTTTATTTCTGTTTGTTATTTTAGTATAATTCTCCTTATTACATGTCCTTAACTTGTGAACACATTTGTAAGGATTTTATTGTCATATCTTGCGGACCTAGTTCAAGGTAAGTCACCATTAGAAAGTAGTAATTTATTTTAATTAATAATCAAACAAGATTGTTAGAAGATAAATTTAATAATTCACATGTGTAAACGGTTTTATAAAGGAAAAATCGAATCAACAACATAAGCCGGTAAAAACCGTAAATGCTTGCAGCGGTTCGGCGCTCATACCCCAACGCCGCCCGCCCCCGCCCTGTCACGGCCAAAACATTGCCGTACCCTTGCCGCCACACGGACTAAACCTCTCAACCTACAGGATACAATTTAAATTAGATGGAAATTACTGATAAAATATAAACAGCTATTTTTTTTAGAGTTTTGTTTAACCTAATATCTGACAAAAGACTGAAACGCTAATACAATAAAATATACTATTATAAACTTCATCTGAAACATCGTGAAAATTACTCTGATTTAACTTGATAATACATTTTACTCGATTTAACGTTATTTGTATAAATTTCAACGTGAATCTTCCATAAGACCTATTTCTAAACTCACGCACACCAGTGCACACAGCCTCCGGAAAAAGGTCAACAACCTCCCTCCCTCGGAACCTCTCGATATTCGTCAATTTGAATATTCCACCCTCTCGTTTTTAAGGATTAGATTTTTCCGCAAAATCCATTTCGTTGTGCTCTAAGTTTGTTTACATTGAAGCTTTAACGAAAAATGTACGCTACAAGTAGAAGTTTGTTTGATTGAACTTTTTATTACAGATTTAAAAAATATAATTTTGTTTCAGTGAATTTAACTAATCTATCTTTAGAATGGTGACAATAGAAAATATCTATAAAGCAATTTTTTTAAATCCTCTTGGTACCTCTAGTTTCATATTTCGGTCCTCATAAATAATGTTTCTGTCTTCGCCACTAATAAATATAACGTTAACAAAAGCATTTTCCTCGTTATAAGGTTCCGGTGCTCGTATCCGACTCGCAGGACCAATAACGGAAATTGGTAAGAAATGATCCGGAATAACCCCGAGGAGGGCGGACTGATTTGTTGAATACACCGCCAATTCAGCGAGCATTTATAATTAACGTACTTGGATAACTAGAACTCTTATTAAAGTTTCATATCGCGTAGTTAAATCTTCACTTACAAATGTAATATTTGTTTTTCTCTTGTTTCTACGTTATTGTTACGCAAAACAATACGCACGAATTAATGAAGAATTCTAGCGAAGAAGAGGACTTGAACCTAGTTTTAACAATATGCTTTCTAACTGGATTGCCTCTCTAAATATCTTACATTTTATAACAATTGCTGCGTAAAGAATTTTAATGACTTACAAACTATTGTAGCGATCAAACAAACCACTAGAAGAACAATATACCTCCATTGTTACTCCATTTACATCATCTTTGTTTTAATATGAACTTGCTAGAAAAATAAAGGTATTACAAGGTCAGGTGTATCATGAGACTCTTGTGTAAAAGGAACTGCATTTCTAGAGCTAGACTGGAAGTTCCAAGGTCGCAGACTAACCCACACACATGCGGGAACCTCCCTGTACTCACACCGCCACAAGCACGTGTACACTCTCCCCTATACATGGTCGTCATGGCAACGCAGCATCACTCCACGCCCACAACTCCGGGGGCGAACTCTCAAGATATTACGCCCTACTTCGCTCGTATTGGCGAACCAAAGGGGTGTAGTTACTTTGTGCTTGTGTGAGTGTGCTTAGAGCGGTTAGTCTCGAGAAATTCGCCAATTTCATTTCCCAACCAAATTTCGTGCCCGATGCTCGTCGTTTTACTGTGCCAATTATGTGTACAGTTACTCGGAATATTGGGAATAAAGACATGTTGTTCTAGAAAAGTAAAGTAGATCTTATTTAAGTCAATCTTTTGAAATAAATATAAATATATCTCTGAAAAACACATTTTCTGCTTCACTAGTATTTAAAACTTGGTTATTACTGTCATGATAAATTGAGAAAAGATTTAGATTCTTTGCAACTCATACATTTGCACACAAATGATGGAATTGCATGGAAGAGCTTGTCTTTTTTTGAATGGAGAAAAAATATAGGTACGTAACGAATGCTAACCAAGCACTCGACTCCATTCGCTACATTCACCGGCCGCTCGTTAACAAACCTATTCAATTTTGAAGTATTAGTCGATTGAGGCAACATTTCTCGCGTCCTACCGCCGCGAGTTCCAATTAGCGACTGGGGCTTGTCGCTTGAGTGGCGGTGACGTCACGCGGCGCTTTCATGCGGTTTCAATAACTACCCTCTCCACGACTCCTTCAATAGCCGGCCACTCCACCTGGCCTTCATTAGGGACCTCAATGTATACGCCGAGCTGAAAAGGCGACGGGATCTACTAATTTAAAAAATACAAGTTTTAACGAGTAAAGTTGTTTAGCTAATAGCTATACTCCCACATCGACGCCGCGATAATGCAATATTACTTTTTCTCGAAATTATTAAACTTTATTTGAACAAAGGCAGCTTGCCGTCTTTTGTCTGTGGCCGGTCGCGCCATAGACAAATCTTATTATGGAAATATTTTTAAATTAAGAACGCGCTCGGGTCCCGCATTATGCGTCTCGACTGTCATCATTGTCTAGCCTCTTTTTGTTCGTCCTCGCATGTCGAGGTTTTTCGACCACCGTTTCGGTATTTTTTATTCTCTTTTTATTTATATTTTTTTCGAGCTGTCCCGAGCGTGAATGGTGGGCTTTGTTTGTTCGTGTTTTATTATTAATTAGTGGGGATCCTTTGTTCGTGGTAATTATTCGTCTTAATAAGCGGTTCCTGCTCTTCGAATGCGAACGAGCGCTGGAGGAATTGTCAACGCTTTTGGTTTTAAATGACTGCTAGTGATAAGGGTTTTTAGTAACTGGTTTTTTGGTTAATGGTTCATTTTGTTTTACGATTTCATAATGTTTAAGTTTATCCACTAAAATATTTTTAAGTATTCAATAAATTATCAACAAAAAATCATTTAACTTCTATTATCAATTTTAGTTTCACATTTCTTTGATTTGTTGAGGTCAACAGGGTGTTCTCTCAATTTGCCTCAAAAAAATTATAATTCGAAATCCTTGAATGGTTGATGAATTTCTATCGAGTTAGTTTGTGTAGGAAGAGCATTGTTGAAACAATAAGATATGAGACAAAAAGGACGGCGAGGCGAGCAGGCCGTCGGGCTTTCGGGTCTCGACGCTGAAGCCACAATTAATTTAGCCTACGTGTCGCGCGATCCTGTCGTTTATTTCGCATAATAAAGTGCTGAAAAGAAGTCCCAGTTTAATTAGAGGTAAGACACTCGGGGTCGGAAGCGCGCGCCTGAATGCCACTCGTCGGACGCCATTTTGCATAATTGGGCGACGGAGGGTAGGACGAAATTTATACGGGCGCCCGCCAATTTACTTGCTAATGACGCGTCGTCTTCCCATAGACCGACCGGCGGGGTTTTTGTTCGCGCCACGCTATATTTCTATGAGAGTTCTTTTTGTTTTTGACCCGGTTGACTTTTTCGGTTTGTTTTTGTTTGAACTTTTTCACATTTACGGAAAGGGTTTTTCAACTGCAATGTTTAGCGGTGAGTGAAATTCGCAACACTTTCGTTTATTGTGAATTGCAAACACTTCATACTGACTTTTTTAAATATTATTTTAGTTCAAAACTAAACATGTTTCTACTGTTTGAAAGCTTCAAAAGCTGTATTAGTTTTTTTCTTTGTTTTTAAAACAAATGTCAAGAATTAGGTTATTTTGTATAAAATATTAGTTGTAAATATTAATGTTTGTATTGTTGCAGGCAAGCAAGATGGGGCTCCCTGCCGGAGGAGGGCTCTCCCTGTTCTGTCCAGCGGGAGACCTAGGGCAGCCGCCCCCCGCGCATATGGGTATCCCCCCACCCTACCAGTTAGACTCCAAACTGGGTGAGTTAACATTTTCACAAACATTAACAAAATCGTACAAAGTATCGAATACTCATTTTAGTCCTAAGTAGAAAAACTTAATTAAGAAACATTTGATATAGTATTTACTTCCTTTAAAAAAACAAGTGTCAATAATTATGCTTTAAAATCAACCTTCAGATTATAAACACAAAACTGAACTAAAATATGATGTAAACATTTAAATACTAAATTTAGTACGTATAATCAATCTATATAAAGAGGAAAGAGTTGTATTTAAGAATTTTTGTATGTACTAAAATACCTCATAAACTATTGGGTCAGATTTAGACAATTCACCATTAAAAAGCTAGGTTATCGCTGAGTAACATAGGCTACTTATACTATAGTCTAAATTCCCGTGGACAAATTCACGAACAACAACTAATGGACAAACAAGACTAGACTGAGCTTCAATATTTCAATAAGCATATTAATTTCACGTCAATATTGTGGTCACCGCGTGTATCACACTGTGAATCATTGAACACGTCTTTATACATTAAAATCCATAAAGCCTTTATAACGGAACTTTATCTCAAGTTACAATTTCTTTGAATATGTGATTTAATTATGGAAATTTTTAATTTCTTCTCAGATGCTTAAGTATTGTTAAGTTATAACCGATAACGTATTAACATTTTTATGACCAATTAATCGATTTAAATAATAGATAAAGAGCACAGAACTAAAGAGCATTAATTTATTAACCGACGTAACGGTCTAATGTTACGAGCTGTAACATTCGTCTCAATCAGCTTGTTGCTCGCTTATTTCCCCGTAACAAGTTATAAATTCATGAAATTCGCTGAACATGATACATGACACCCTGTAACGTTAGTCTTACCTTTAAGGTAACTTTGTTTTTTCATGTTTTGTTAAAAACCAGTCTCGTTGCAAGTAAATTAGGTTTACCGAAGCATGTTACTCTATTAGTATTGGTCGCAGTAATTAAATAAATAGTAACAGAGTTGTGTTATCCCAACAGCGGGGTTAGCGCGGACGCCCATGTACCCCTTTCCGGGGGGCACCTACCCCTACCCCATGCTCAGCCCGGAGATGTCGCAGGTAGCCGCCTCATGGTGAGTATAGTTACTTATCTATGTTAAGGTACTTGTTATTAGTTTAATGGAAGAAATTTAGGGAATTAATGCAAAAAAATCAAGCGACGAAATTACGTCATGCATCGCATTTTGTAATTAAAGACAAGATAGTCATTTGACTAAATAATGTAGGTAATTTCAGTTGTTTAAGAAAAAACAAACTCATGTATATAATCAGGAATAAAAAAAAATGTTACAATTACTTAAGTAATGTGAAGTATTGACGTACAGACTTAATGATTTAGATCGATGACGTCAAAGTTATTTTTAAACTCATTAAAGGATGTATCAAAACAATTAGGACACGTTAAATTGAGCCATTCAAGTATCCGCTTCGATAAACGTAAGAAAATGTGCGACTTAAAACATCTTGTATGACTTAAAATGCATTGTTTCTGTGGAGAATGGAACGAGCGCTTGTCGACGAAAAGAGTTACACTTAGATCCTTATAAGATGTGACCCTTTTCGTCTGTCTCATGTAGTGCGCTTACGTGCGAGGGTAACACAAGTGTGCCAATTTGTACCGTAGCTTTTTATTTCACAAATGTACTGCACTGTACATGTCTACGAACGTGGATCGCATTATACCTTGATGTACTCGTGTATATAATTTTTAAATTCTATGTATAATGTTTTTAATTTCCTTACTAGGCATACTCCGAGCATGTACCCCATATCTTCGGCGGCTAGCGGCTTCCGGAGCCCTTACCCCACCTCCCTGCCAATCAGCAGTTCTAGTCTATCTAGGTTAGTATTATAAATGTTTGATATTTTAAAAATGTGACAGAAAAAGAAAAGCAATCTGCGAGTCTATGAATTTTTAAATCAAAGTTAAATGTTTGTTTCAAAGAAGAAATTATTGATTTTTTATTTTGTCAACTGTACGTCTTAGTGATTTGTGTTTACATGTTTATGTAACGTTTTCTTTTGTGCAGTGAATTATACCGGTTCTCTCCGACACTTGGCGGCGGGCTGGGGCTCGGCTTGAGTCCAGCCCTGGTACCTGCACCGCCCTCCAAGGTTGATCTCTTCTCTCATCATGCGAGGTAAGACAACTCAAATTTTATATTTTATAAGTCACTATTTCTTAACCTCTCTATGTTATATCCAAATGATCAAAATTAGTCAATTTTTTTCCATAATATTCTCAGTAATAATCATTCTTGATTTTGAAGCACTTTTAGTTGACATTAAGTTTTATCAAAGCATGTATTTACATTAATCCGGTACCGGGTACAAATTTATCAAGGGGAATACCGTTACTACTTCTGTAAAACTATTGTTGATACTTAGAAATTACTTGTTGACCTCTAAGGTCACGTTGCATGACGTCATATTTATTAGAATCAAATAAGTTCTCAGAAACGTAGAGGTTAGTTCTCACGGAGTTTATCACGTCGATCACGATGCGTTTGAAGTCGATCTGAGGACATTCTGTGCATTTGTGAATATGCTGTAACACTGTATTGCCGTTTGTTACCTATTTGTATACCGTATGAAGTATCCGGGTGCTCTCCTTAAACACGTGTGTGGAAAAGAAAATCAGTACCATGTCGACAATAGTTTAAATGTTGTAACACTTAGACAAAAAACATGGAAGGTGAAGGAAGACATTGTGAAGCCAACAAGCGTGCTTAAATGGCCTAGACGTCTTCACCTTACTGATGATGATGTTTATTATCTTAAAACTTCATTACCAATCATCATCATCTAGATTTTTGTCCTCCAAATAACTCAATCGTACGTCATCTCAGTCATCACTCCCTTTTTGATCATGTCACCTTTCACGCAATCATCCATCTCTTTCTAGATCTATCTCTACCGGTGTGCCCTTCCACACTCATAACTAACGTTCTCCTTGTAATATGCGATTCATCCCTCCTCATTACATGCCCATACCATGCTAACCTTTTATTCGTTACCTTCTCTACCACTGGGGCTACACTCAAACTTCGTCTAATGTACTCATTTCGTATCTTATCCATTCGTGTTAAGACTTCATAATCAATCCATGATATATTTATTACTTGTAATAAAAATATTACAAGTAATCGAGACTGTCGATATCCAGCTGTGTCCCACCCGTCACGTCACGTCCATAAAGTGACGTGCGTCGTTGCCATTTTGTACCTATTTCCGTGGCACGTCGCAGATTCCAGCCATTCGCCATTAATAACAGCGCAAACGAGAGGCGCGTGCGCACGCAGTATCACAACGCCTAATTACAACGTTCAGTTCAAACGGAACGATAGAAATCAACGCACGGTGACTTTCACACGCGGGTAAAACATGTATACATAATAGTAGACAGTCCAGTACTTCATCACTTTACAAATGTATATTCGAAACGCAATACCTATCGTTTAAAAGTCAAAATTTTAGTGCTTATAAATTGCATTTGATTGTTATTTAACTACTCTGTACAGTCTTTGTATTGTTCTTTTAAACAATAGCAGTACTGTCGTACTGTAATCACTGTTCTGTCCTCGTGTGAAATTAGCATAAACACCATTGTGACATACGCCCTAGTAACGTATCATTGCGCGATCTTATCGCATGAATATTACACGGATAAACTCAGCCGACCCCCGCTTATCGCAAGATTGAAGATAAGCCCACCACCCCTAGTCTCGGATTGACAGATGCGTTTTCGAAAATCGTATTAGGGGTATTATAAAAAAATTGTTTTCACTTTATTCATTTTACTGCTTCTATTATGTTGGACAATAAACCGTTTTAGGCTAATTTTAGATTTGAATGTGTAATAATGAGTGTAGAACTTAATACCATAGACAAAATAAAACGTTTTATAGTCAGTATACAAAATAAAAACAAAGCACTGTATTCTACAATGTGATTGTTCAACATTTAAACAGAAACCTTCACATTGTATGTATTTAATTTGTAAGCAATTACCCCATGATCCGAGGAGCGTGTTACCAAAGAGGATGTGTTTAACTGGAAATGCAGAAAGGAATCTGTAATCTTACACCTTTCAACGCGTCGTCGTTTCGTACAAGTTGCATCAGTCAAAAATATAAAATCGCTGCGTTGTGTGGTCACACTTGCAGCGGTTTGTTTTATTGTATTTTGTTTATTCCACTATGAGATATATCTTTCTGTAACTTACAGAGTGAAATTTAACTAAGGGAGTCTTTTACTGCATAATTCAGTACAGAATTTACAGAGCTTATTTGATTTTTTTGTGTTTCATTTTAATGTCTTAATAAGAGCCTTATTTTAATGTTTGTAAAATAATGTCCTAGGTGACTAAATAGTATAGTTAAAATTACACTCAGTAATACATTTGTTTAATAAATATTACAATGAAAGTATTCATTGGTACTTAAAGATAGTTAAAGCAATATAAAAGGGTAATATATCTTAACTATATCTTCTTTTAACTTAAACTAACTTGAGACTTAAATTTGTTATCAGCACAACTATTTAAAAGACTACTAAATACTCAAAGTCGCGAACACTGGGGCAGTACATTCATGAACATAAAAGTCCAGGTACAATCATGTAAATAAGGCTGCTTGAGGAGAAATTTAATTAAGATGATATATGAGACGCCTCGTAACGGGCTTGTAAGGTACAGTCGCGGACACAAGCGCCAGCGCACAGATTCCCAATAAGATAAAAGATTTTTTATGTGACACATCACGAATAAAACAAAAACTGAAGATTATGCAAATGATGTAACGCATGCCTTTCGATTAAAAGCTTTTACGATATATTTATAAATTAATGTTACCTTTCATATACGAATAAGCATAATTAAAAAAAGATACATGACATGAAAATATTTTCTTGCTCTATCTTTAAACATTGTTATATTAATTTTGTCAATAAAATGTATAAATTGAATAGACAACAAATAATGTCTGTGTCTTAAATTTTTAATAATGTGTATATTCTAGCTCTTATTTGCGACTTTTTCTGTGCGAAATTAAAAATAAACTTATTAAGTATGTGCCGTGTTCTTCCAGACTGCTTTTTTGTATTTATAAAGATGTGTAAACACTTTTTGGAGATACATTTTAACAAACATGCATCCATCCAAACTTTATATTAATGTTATCACATTTACAGTTTTGTGTGCGATGTTACCCCACACATAATTACCGCGCCCGCGCCTCTGAATACCTCATTTGGAGCGTATGCGCATTGTGCTCGGGATTTTCGTTTCTCTCGTTTCTTTTTAACCTTTTACCCATTTTTAAACCGACTCGCCTTCGCGCATTAAGGAAGTCGTATATTCGACCGTTCCAAACGTTCCTCGAACTAATTTACTGAATAAAAGTCTATATTAGACGTATAACCATATGGGTACAGTCAGCTTCATAAATATGAAAACAATTACAAAGCTGCATAACTCATTTACGCCTTCAATTTGAATAAAATGGGATACACGTATCTGTTCGTATGCTTATGTCTATGACTATGTTCATATTTATTTTTGAAATTGCATCTAGTTTTGTTAATCTTAGCAACAATAGAAATGCGAAAATTTAGATGGATAAATGTTCGATAGAGTTTACCGCCTAAATCGTTGATGGGATCATGATGGAATTTGGCATTTGTTTAGAGTATATTCTGGAATAAACCATAGACATGCTTTTGTTTTTTTTTTACATCAACGTGGACAGAGCCGCGGGTGAAAGCTAGTCTATACATATTTGTGCAGCTGACTGTACATATATCTCTGACAATATATTTTATAGGTTCTATTTCGGATGCGTACATCACAGACAGGAAGTCGTTTTTCACATGTTTCGTTTGTTTTTCAAACATTGTGATTATTAATTTGGTTGCTCTTGTACGGTATATTTTAAAAACTATGTTCAAGATTCCTTTTGCTTTTTATTTGCTTCAACAAGCTTGTGTCGCATTTTTTTGTTAACGATTATAATTTAGTCGATGTTTTCTTGTCATCGATGATTAACTTGTGTTTAATATTTACGTCTCTTTCACACTGGCTTTTAAATTAATTACAAGTGTTGAAGAGAGATTTATTTTAAATAGTTTTTTTTATATATTTAAAGATCTAATTTATAAATTCTAACATCGGAATGGAATAAAATGATTTTTGTAACGTATTTGAAACAGTCTTATTTTTAGGGTAAGGCCCTATTGTTTAAAACGTTATGTAAATTACGATGTAACAATTTGTTAATAAAATTCAACTACGTTAACTGTCTTGTGGCAGTAGGTCAGTGGCCAGACATCCGTCAGAGCAATGAAATGATTCACTGCTTGCCAGTTATCCATGTCTCAAGGTCGAATATAGAAAACTATCTGTAGTTACAACCAATTTTTAAAGTATTGAAAAGCCCACACTTCTAGTTTTCTATGAAAAAAAAATAACAATTCCTCTCTCCTCCTGACCTCCATATACGTCACATCTACTCTTGTTGACGGTTTTTTAAAGACTTCCTTAGTCCGTTAGTCGTTTAACAGACGTCTACAGTTAAAGTTCGTCCTTATGTCCGTTTGTATCCGCGGCCGTGCGTCTGCCTCGGACCATCGCCGGAAACGCCGCGTCTATTTCCAACCGGACGCGCGCTTGTTTACTGTCACCCGTCGCGTCGCCGTCGCCTGTCGCGGCTGCGTGTCGTTAACACCTACCACTATTAACATATCGATATCGACACCGATAATACTTGATACATCGATATCTTAATGCACATCATTTTTTATCGTAGCATTTTATGTAGCTCTATATTCCGTCACTAATTATACAGAAGTAATCAAGCTACCTTGTCTGTAAGTGGCTAATAGTTTTAAAACCAAAAAGTTATGAAGCTAATATGGTGGTTCCAGGTCTCAAGCGGAGAAGAGCAGCAGCGGGGGCTCCGGGGAGAAGGCGAGCGAGGCGGGCGGTAACAGCAAGGAGCAGAACAAGAAACCGCACATCAAGAAGCCGCTTAACGCTTTCATGCTCTACATGAAGGAGATGCGCGCCAAAGTCGTCGCTGAGTGCACGCTCAAGGAGTCCGCCGCCATCAACCAGATCCTCGGCAGACGGGTGAGTCCCATTCCAAAACCACTTATGTCAATGTTAACTTTTAATTTTAAATTCATTACAAACTGGCCATTTAGTATTCCAATCAAACGATTTAATTGAATAAAATTCACCCTTGACTCTGTGTTTTGTTCCGTATAGAACCGGTGTTGTCATTGTTAATCTTGTAAGGAATACGAGTCGCGAGGCATCGAGTTAACAAATCGGCAGCGAGACAATGCCGCGCCACGGCCGAGCCGGCGCCGAGTCGCACATCGAACTAGATGCATTGAATAATAAAGACGGCGCAACTGGCGGCGGGCCGGCGACGCGACATTCCTCACAAGAGTAGCAAGTGTGCCGGAGCGGCCGCTCGCGAGCGTCCAACGGCGCGCGTTGGGCGGCCGCGAGCGGCGCGGCACGCCCGTAATGTGGTGTACCCGTGTCGATACGCAGTGGCATTCGTTGAGTCGCGAGGAGCAGGCAAAGTACTATGAGAAAGCGCGGCAAGAGAGACAGCTCCATATGCAGCTATACCCCGGGTGGAGCGCCAGGGACAACTACGGTTACGGTTCCAAAAAGAAAAAGCGGAAAAAGGACCGAGGTCCCGCTGAATTGGGAGGTATTGGACCTTAGGAACTGTAACCTGTGAAGGGGCTGGGTCACGTCGACGCTTGTGTACACTCGCTTCACCTCCCCCTCCCGTCCCGCGAGTCCCGCCGAGTCCCGCCGGCGGCGAGCTCCTCTAACACTACTAACGCCCGCTTGCGTCACTCCGACGACTCCGTTCCGACCCGACCCGACCCGACCCGAGCCGACCCGAGCCGTCCCCGTATCGTATGAGTGTGCGTGTGTGCGTGTGTACGTGTGCACCGTCGTGCGCCCGGGGCCGTGCTAGAAAAGCGGCCGGCCGGCTGTTGCGTGTTGTGTACTGTACTGTAGACGTCGAGTGACCGCACTCACCTCACCCTGGAAACATTGGTTTGTTCTGTGTCTAGGCGCGTCGTTCTACCGCAGAATAGGTTCTGGGAGGAACATAATTGGCCATTCTCATTCCGGTTAGGATCAAAATTGCCGCGGGGACGCGTATAGCGGGCTGTTTTTCTAGCACCAGGATAGGACGACGAGCCGCTTGGGCCGCGTCGAAGTGCATTTATCTTTTCTTTCCATATTCGCTGGCCGTTGACGGTACAGTGGCACGCACTCGGCCGGGAGGAGCAAGCCAAGTATTACGAGCTGGCGCGTCGGGAACGCCAGCTGCACATGCAACTCTATCCCGATTGGTCGTCTAGGGCTAATACGCAAAGGGGCAAGAAGAGGAAACGAAAACAGGAGACAACCGATGGAGGTACTGCCTTTCGCTCCGTCGCCGTCCTTCGCTCCGCACTGCCCCCTCCACGTCCCCGAGTCCTCTCCCGCAGCGAGGACCACGGTCTCGTCGGCTGCACACTCACCACCTCAGAAGTCCGACACGTGGTCCGATCAGCGGACGTCTCAACGAACGCGCCACACGCGCTTCGTCTCATTTAAAAATGAGGTCAATTAATGAAGGATTAACTCCGAGACGTTTGCTGCTTCCTCACCCGCCTCCCCTCCCCTTGCCCCGCTCCCCTCCCCTGTCCCGAGGCCCGAGAGAGTTCAATTACTTTGAACTTGATGCCAACCATACGTAGTTACTGCCGAATGTATAATGGTTGAAGGGGTCCAGGTTGTAGACATATCAGCATTACTTATTTTATATACTATTTATCGCATTTATTTATTTATTATATACATTTTTTGTTACTGTAATTACAACGCTATATAAATATATATACCGAGAATCACCCTGAGTATGTGGCACTCCTTCGAAGGTTGTCCCGGTTTTTGTTGTTCCGCTCCGCTCCGCCGGCGGCCACCAGTCCGGGCTCGCAGCCATGCGTCAATATTTGAAGTCCAGAGTAATTGCTTCGCAGGGAGGTAGCTCTGTGCGGGCTGGGACAGCCTTCTTGAGATATTGAACTATGCAAAGGTGTAGACATATTGTATGCATGAGGAGGTGAGGACGCGAGGGCGTAGGAGAGCGGCGGCGGCGAGCGCGCCCGCACAGATACGAGCTGCAATGCTTCTGCGGATTACAATGATACTGGCCAAACTACATATTTATTTTGATTCCGGAGAACCTATTCTGCTTCAATTTGCTTAAAAGCGTCATGTTTAATTGTGACTGTTTTGTTTTTACGTATGACGTAGTTAGCACATTTTGATAGCAAAAGCGAGTAGTGAGCTATTTTTTAAAACCAATGTTTTTCCGTTGTTCCCTTTTATTTCTCCCTTTCCCTTATCCAGCATGATACTAACGTGTTTGTAGTTGTTTGTTGCATGTTTGCTTGTTCGTAGTGGTAGATTAGACGTATTATTTTTAAGGCGCTTCGAACTTGATTTGAAGTAAATTTATTTTTGCTAAACGATCAGAGTAAAGACCATTTGATTTGATAAAGCAGCTTTTCGAACCAGATTTAATTAACATTATTTTTAGAAAGTCAACTTCCCACATCACACGGTGGAACCGTTAATTTGCCGTTAAAGTTTTAATTTGCTATTAAATATCCATATTTAATGATAATAAAGTAACAATCTAGTAGAAGTTTGCCGACTTGTGAATGTATTAGCGACGTGTTCTAACAGACTTCCTGTGCCACTTCCAGGAAATAATTTGAAGAAATGCCGGGCGAGGTACGGCCTCGACCAACAGAACCAATGGTGCAAACCTTGCAGGTGGGTACTTACAAATTTTTTATGATTTTTTCGCTTCAACATGTTAAAAAATTTTCAAAAAAGGTTTTTTCTATAAATCGTTAGTCGTTTCAAAAATGATATTGTTTCTATGTGGAAAGACTTGGCTTATCTTTTCGTCTTCACATATGGCAAAAGAAGCCCAGTCGTCTTTTTTTTTTCTTTATTAGTTTTTTATTGTAATTCAAAAAAATCTGTAGTATTTGTTGTGTTTTATGTTACTCATAATTTTAATATGTTTCGGTTTAAACAATACGAGTCTGGTCAAATAGGATTCGTGTACGGCGAAGCAGCAAAAAAAATAATTCAGAAAATGTGTCTTTTCACAAAGAAATAAGTTTGATACGATGTAGACAGCACACGGAATAGATTTTTTTGAAAGTAGACAAAGTGTGGTAGTAAAATAATAGGCAATAGACAATCGGCAATTCAGATCTACTGAGGAAAGGCAATCATTTGTCGAAGAAAACTTTCAAAAAAATCTTGACACATTTTCTGAATTTCGCTCGCTTTTTTTGGGACACGACCAGAGAATATTTATTACGATGTTTATACTTATCGAAATGTTTTTTTCCACTCATGATTGCCGCTTCTCACGGATCAATGCTGGATGACTGGCACTATTGGTAACATTAAAACTTTACTCGAATTACGATCGCATTTAAACTATACATCAAACACCACTTGACTCGAATATTTTTTGATCCTATTTCGTTTATAATTTTATGTTTGTTCTTACCCTAATCGTGAAACCTTACTTTGCTACAATCTTCTAAATGCTATTAAATGTCGAATTATTTTCGATATTTTCTTTCCCTTGACATTTCTCTTACTTTTATTGGATGTACTATTTTTTTTGTTATCCTTTCTTGAATGGCTTCATTTGATTGTCATCTTAACTAATTGATGCTTTCTCTAATTTCGACATAACCATAATTTTAAATAACTTTGATTTCATCTGTCGTTTATTTCATTTTCTTATATATTTTAACTTCCATCATCTTCATTACTGGTCTCTCTGGCTGAATATCCACTTGCACTGTACGGTATGGTAGTCCCGAGTCAAGTAGCGTGATGGTGTCGGGCGGGCTAGGGCTGCTGCGGCCGGAGGCGCCGCTGCCCGCAGCTAGTCTGGTGGGCAGCCCTGCGCAGGAGCCTACATACGTTAACCTCTAGTGCCGGTCCTACGCCGAAGGAAGTACGGTCAGTTACGTAGCATGGTAGACAATTGTACAGTATTCTCAGTTTAACTGTTTTTGTCGTTGCTAGTTGACGTTTAACGTTTTTTTTGTGATTTTTTTAATATTTTGATTGCATGTTTTCGATTTTTTTTGTTTTTAAACATAAGTTTACTCCCAATATCGATTTTAGCGTTACTAGCGTTCTGAGCGCTTTTTATCGTAATAAGGGGGGTTAGGCCTTTTTAAATTAAAAAGAGGGGGTTAACGGTCTTGCGACTGTCTTTGTTGATTTTCGCGTCCATTTCTGTCCAGCGCCCTGGGCACTGATTCTCGGTTCAAAACTTAGGTCGAACTTTTTAAATTCTTGTGGATTACAAGGAACGAGAAATATAGTTCTAAAATTTGTAACTGACAAAATTATTAAGAAAATTTAAACTAGATTGGTTTTATTCCACATATTTTTCTATGTTGTTTTGTTGGTAGGTCGCATCCTAACTATATTCGCAAGAATATTTGTCGTTATTGTTTTTGAGTTTTTTTTTTTTTGTTGAAAATAGTCAAAAATAATCTGCTTTGAATAAGTTAGAATGTTGTGCTTTTTTTCGATGTTTGAATTTTAATTTTCGTATTTCGATATTTTTTGTTTCTTCAGAATTCTTTTGAGTTTTTTAGCGTCGCATGTTTCTGATGTTTTGTGTGGCCTTCATTGTTGTAGTAAATCTGTTTTTTTTTTTATTAAATACCCGTAATGTTTTAAGCATGTCGATTTAACATTTGTACATTTTTAAAAAGGACGTTAGTGTGTGTCTTTGACTTTTTTTTTAAATCAAGAGAATTCATAATGCACCTGGACGGATAAGGTAAGAATGAATAGAGATTAGGAAGTTACATAATTATTTTTTATTTCAATTCTTGATATAGGTGTTTAAACTTTTTTGGTTACAATTATAACTGTTCGAAAGAAACAGAATTCCTATCACGATAAAACTCGAATCAAAGTGGTCGCATTTTGAGAATCATAAAATGACCAATCCAATCCATCCAATATATAATGTAACTTTATTTATTTGATTTTATACACCCGTATATGGTACAATATAAGTATAGTAGAGGATATTGGTTAAGTTTGTTCGACTAATAGTTGCAATTTCTTCCGATTGCTTTTACTTCAACTAGTAACTTTCTTTACGATATTTTCAGGCGGAAGAAAAAGTGCGTTCGTTATATGGAGGCGCTAGCGGCGGCGGGCGGGGGGCTGGGCGCGGGGGGCGCGGCGGGCGTGGGGGGCGTGGGGGGCGCGCTCTCGCCTTGCTCCGATGAGGATGTGAAGCTGGAGGAGTTGTCAGACGCGAGTAGTGACGCGGAACCCGACACTCCCCCCACATCCGCGTCCAGTCCTGGCGGGCTCAGCGCACTCTCCTCGCTGGCGTCGCCCGCGCCAGACCCCGCGCACCCCGCGCACGCCCCGCACCCTCACCCTGCGCACCCCGCGCACCCCACGCCGCGACATCCAGTCGGTACCAACCCTCGCGACGCCAACAACCCGCTGTCTGTTGGACAGCTCACCTCACAGTCGTGGCCGCGCGCCGCGCAGACACGGCCCTCACATGAGGTCATCTCAGTATCGTAGTGCGGTCTGCGACAGCACCGACAGCACCGACAGCACCGACTGCAGTGCTGACAGTGATAGTGACACTGACTGCCGAGTGCTGACAGGGCTTCTGCCCACTGCTTACTGCTGACTGCCGCTAGGCGGCGCCACTTGCAACTTATATCCAAATATGAATTGTTAGTTCTCAATCTTGTGTACAAGTGTTCCACAGTTGTGAAGTAACAATCCGTTTGCGAACAGCGCCATCTAGCGGCGAGTGCAAGAACGTTGTGTAGGTTGTGACAAGACGCGGTATCAGCAAATGTACAGTAATTCAAGGATATTGTGATTTCGCATTAATATTGTTTCATCAGGTGCTAAATAACACGGGTTTTCTTGAATGTCATACGGGAATATCGACATTTTGTGTACATTTATTATTTCTTGAACAGTTCTATAAAATACCATAGATTTTTTCTTTCTTGAACGTTTTAGATGGCCTAAACATTCACCATGTGTGCGATATTTCCGAATGCCATACGAATGCAATGTACATGAAAACTTAATATGTAACTTACGTAAAACTGTGAAATAAAACTTTAAAAAAAATATCTAAAACACATTCACTACACTATAAGATACATTTTATCTCAAAATCCAGTCAATCATGATCTCAGATCCACAATTACATTGAAATATAGTAAAAACTGGATAGTGCAACATCGTTGGAAGTTCAATAATTTCGTATTTAACAGTCGCTATAACCGATAATACCCGATGTCGTATTAAACGGTTTTTACAACGACTAGTCACATCGCCATACTTCGACCGGTTAATATTTAACGTTATAGTTTAACAGTTATATTAGAACTACATAAATAACATAAAATAACTTTTAACTCTAAAACTGTTAATCTATGTCGTTGAAATATAAAAGTGGATTTAATTTTTGAACATCCTGTAACTTAAAGACCCATTCATATTAAAACCATAGATATATAATCTATAAATATTGAAACACTAAAATAAAGAAAAAGCCTATAAAGTACTCCTTTGAAGAAATTCCAAAAAAAATTGGGATATTTCCTAAATAATTTTTTTTTTCAAAAATATACTCCTGATACACACTCCATCTATAGATTGCATATCTATGTTATCAAGTTTGTTAATTATTTGCCTTTATCTAATAACTTTAAAACTGGGTACTTAATGTTAAAACACAAATACAAAAATATCTACTATTCTAAGAATTATATCCTCACAAAATTTCAAATATGTAAATGCCTATGCAGTGGAATTTGGGTTTAAATGTTATTTAAAAAGGTTCAATAATTAACAACCTTCGTACATAATCATTAGACAATAACATACCACAGATATTAAAATAAAAAAAATTAAAAGCACTAAAAAAATCTTATAAAACCAATATTGCCGTATATAAAAAGGCTATGTAATTCGCCTTTTATTGCTCTCTTGAAATTTTTAATTTTCTGAACATACTGTAGAATTCGACTTAAAGATGCATATTGCTGTCTCTATTTTGTCAAAGAAAATGAAAGAGATAGCAATATGTGTACTGTTACACAAAACGGCTCGCACCATGTTCCACGTAGTGTTTAATTTTTTTTTAAATAACCTCTTTGGGTCAAACTTGTGTAAAATAATCCGACCCAAAAGCTGTTTTTTTCCGTTGTGCGGAATTGTTAGACTGTCGTAGGAATAGTTATAGATGGTGTTGCATGAGTCAAATAAATATTTAAAAAAATGTGTTACAGGAATTGCCTTTTGGAATTTTTTGAAAAGATTTTTTCTTAAACAAGAGAATATGTTTTGTTTTATTTTTAATGGTTTTTTAATTCAATGATTTGAAAATTTGAGTTTTTTTTTATTTTTTGGTTGCTTTTAAGAAAAAAGTAACAAGAAAATAGTGGAGGTGATTTAATTTATTTCTAGAACTTTTGCTTATAATAGTTTTGGTATAAAAATTACTTGTTAACAGTATTTCTGTTACAATTATGCAATTTGATTAATGTATTTCTATGATGTTAACATTTTTCTAGATTATTTACTGGAAATAAAGGTCTCTTTTATTCAAGAAAAAGTCTCTTAAAGTTTTAAAGCATTTTTTTGAGTATTCTACAATTTGCAATATTGAAATGTAACGACAATTATAGAAAAAAAAAATTGTTAACAAGAAATCTACTTATTTTTTATGATTTATTATGACTTGAAAAATACAATTACGATTTAATATTGACCTAAACAATGTTGTAAATGGAATTTTTATGTTTATGTGTCAATGATTTTATCATTTATAAGGAAAAAACGATTTTTTACGTTTTGTGTAATTAGAAAATTCCAAAAGGCAGTTTCCGACACACCCTGTATATGTGTAAGTACACACTAGAGCGGTGTAAATGTATAAAATGTAGGTTTTTAATTTAACTGTGTCATATTAGATAATAAGTGTACTATTCTACTTATATTATACATTATTGCTATATAAAAAAAGAATTTTAAAGAAAAAAATATTAGTTGAATACTGACTCAAAATATAAAAAAATCAGAATTCAAACGCATTATTACAGTTATTAAAGACCGCGTTGTAAATAAACTCACGATTTAGAACAGTTTTTGGTATTAAAAAATAATTATTGCATTTATTATTATAATAAAAAATTAACGCACGATACGTTCTCGGATGGTTTGTTTTTGTCCAATGCAACATTTTTTGTTAATTACTATTTTTTTTATTGTTATTATTAAGATTTTTAACGTTGTTAAATGCAATATCGAACTACTGATTGTGCTTTTCGTGATTTGAAAAATTTAATTTTTATCGGAAAAAAATAATTGAATCATTTGACGAAGTTTTTAAATCTCTATGACTCCGATCGTTGGCATGATTTTGCAAGAATATATAAAAAACCTGTGCAATATTTATTCATATGGGTATTGTATAGTTTTTGAAGTACATATAAATTGTAAAAAATAACTTAAGGACTATTTCTGAATTAATAGAAATTATAAAATCGTATTATTTTGCTTTCAAATCGAGAAGATTTTTTTTTGTATTTTTTTTTAACAATCAAAACCCCACGTGCCAAAACCATCTGGAACTACATTCAGGGATTTAAAGGATGGACAGTAATATAGCATATTTCAGTGCCAAATTTAACTGTAAAAAAAATAAGGGTATTTTCGATACCTAATACCTCTGAAAGGTCTTTTATGTTGATAGATTTTATAGGTTGTTTTTATTGTTAAGACAGACAGGCGGCGTTGGGCCGGTTATGTTTTTTTTGTAGGGAAAATTTTGTCAAATTAGAAAACTCAATTATTAGGTCTGAACCCATAACTTTGTGTTCAGTTGAAGGAATATTATTTTAATAAACAACTTAAAATTGTCTTCTGGATTTTCATTTCTTTTTTCTTAACCCCAACACTTGATGGAACATACTATCTCATGTTACTCTATGAATAAGTGAAACAAGACACTTCTATAAGAATTAGATATTTTTAAACATGTACAAGTAATTTTTCGAGTTAATTAGCAGGAAACAAATTCTCTATTGGACATTTTCACAAAATTCATCGTGATTCTGTGTCCTGAACTAATTATGCAACTGTGTTTCAGGAGACAGGACCTTCTCTTATCCGTTAGCAAACTTATTAACAGTTCGTTGCTACCTTTAAAGAGATATGTAACATGTTAAAATTACTTTAATATATGAAAGATGAGCGAAAAGATAATTTAGAAAAACACCTCCCATATAAAAAATAGTCAAGTCCACTAAAATTTACACTGCCGAGATTATTTCGGTAGCGTAATTTACACAAGGAAAAATAAAACACCTTTTATGGATTACATTGTTTATTTTGTGACAATGCATAATAAAGTAAATACACGTTAAGTAATTGTGTAAAATATTGTAAAATTGTGATACAAGTGAGTTATACGACATTTGTACTGGGATTTCTACATCAATTAGAACTAGTACAAGTCATTGAATTATTTCGAAAATTTTAATATTTTTGAATATTTCTAGTCACATGCACGAACATTGAAATTAACGTTTTACAAAATATTCATTGAATAAACAATTAGGCGTCATTATTATAAATAAATAATAAATCAATGAAAAATACAAAAATTATCATATTTGAGTTTTTTAAGTGCGAGTTTAAAACTAAATGAAATGCTTATTTTAAAATGCATAATTAATAAAATGCTCTGAATGTGTTGAGATTTCAACGTATTTTATTATTTCACGATTAAAAATGAACAATCATAATAAAAAAAAAAACACTAAAACAATGGTGCTCAAAACATTTAGATTCAAATTGTGTCAAATTACAGAAATTTACGTTTGAAAATTTAAATTTAACGTATAAAATCTATATTTTATGAGTTACTCTTTGGCGTTTTTTAACAATGAAGAAATTTATATCGATTTATTTACTTTAATAATATCGATATTTTCAGAGAATACACATCACTAACACTCCAGCGATTTGACAAACGAAGCCACAGATTAAAAAATGTGCAGCAATAAATGCAGATAAAATACAATCCTGCTTTGTCACGAAATACTTTTATTGTTTTTTTAACTTATGGCTTATTCCCCGTTTGTGTAAAAAATTACAAAAGGTAAATTCTATCTTCACTATCTTTTACAACATGAATAAGGAAACTTGAGATGCAAAGTTAAACTATTTCTAACTATTAAAAGTGTAATAATCAACAAGAAAAAACAATTTCTGCAATCACTAGAAAACTAAAACTAAATATACTTGCAATAGAATTACCAATATTATTGTGTAAATTCTCTATTTCAATAAAGCCTACAATATAAAAAACTCTAACATAGAAAACATTGGTTCCATTTGACATCACATTCTGATGAAAAAAAAACACAATTTTCTATATTCTATCCTGAGATACAAAAAGTCAATTTTTAACTATAATCCTTACAAAATCAGTCTATGAAACCGAATAAATATTAATAATGAAACGATTAAAATGTCATGCACTATTTAATAAGCAGTCTAACAAAGAGATAACATAAAGCCTCATCAAATCTATCAAAAGTAAAAGCAAAAATAAACCCTATTGTGTTCAAATAAGTATGAAAATAAGATAACATTTTGACAGATTTAATAAAGATTTGTGTTGGTAAATAACAGAGTATGTTCGCAACAAGCACGAACTAAAAATATGCTTGCGTTTATGAAAAAATGCTTTCAAAATTAAATATACGTCAATTAAATTATAATTAAATATATTAAAATCAATAAACATAATTTTCCATTCATCATTTCTGTTTCTTAAAATAAATAATAAAATAAGACACATCCGAGACATTTTTTCACAAGCTAAAGCCGTAAGCTGCAGACCGAAACCGGTACAGACCGGACCGGACTACACTGGTACAGACCGGACCGGAATACACCGGTACAGACCGGACCATATTACACTGGTACAGACTGGTCCGGACTAGGCCGGTACAGACCGGTCTTTACCAGAGGCCGGAGGACTTGCCGCCGGGCGGGTTGCGCACACGCACTGATGTCTTCGTCTCTGCTCCTTCCAGCTCCTCTGAAATTTTTTAAATTTATTGCTTTTTAAATGAAATTACTAGATTTTTATTATATAAAAAATGTACTTCAAAATCTATACTAATATTGTTAAGAGGAAATATTTGTATTTTGTACACATTGGAATAACTCAAAAACTACTGGGTTGGTTTTAAAAATTTCCTTTATTAAAAAGCTATGGTATATACGACCTTTATTAAACCACAGTATTAGTGAGTAACGTCACGTTTTTTACTATTTTGTATTAAACGCGGACGAAGTCGCGAGCAACAGCTACATCCATTTAATCGGTGATCTATTTGCAGTACTTATAGTGAATTAGTAAATATTAAAATTTTAACTAGTCAAATCAGAGTTTGTTTGTAAATCCTTTGCACGGATTTGAATAGGACTTTGACTGGAAAGTAGGGTAGGGTAGGTACTGGAAAGTAGTTAAATTCTACTAATATTAGGAGTGAGTACTGACTGCTGATGGAGAAGGTGGAGTTCTGCAGGTCGCGCTGGCCTGGCTCGCGCATCTTGCGGCCAGTGGGCGTGCTGCAGCCCGAGGACAGCGCCGACTCCAGCTGCTTGCTCAGCATCAGCTCTGCGGACAGTCAATGTATACTTATATTCAAATATCTTATCCGCTTACACATTAAGATTTTTATTTATTGAACAGATACACTAATTGCGTGTTCAATTAGAGTGGAATTAAATATGTAAATAATAAAATTAGGAAAACACAGATGACAGGTACACAGCGCTTACAAGAAAAAAATGTTTAGATAATAAAACATTGAATCAAAATACTTCGATATAGGGCTTTTCAATATTTGTGTATTTTCGTAAGGTTACCATACTTTAGTACAGTAATCTATATCTTTGCTAATATTATAAAGATGAAAGATTTGTATGTTTGAGATATTCAAAAAATACTGGACCAATTTCTTGCACCATTATAATTTATTAATTTGACGCGTGCAAAGTTGAGAGCAACAGCTAGTTTCATATAATACAAGAATTATTTTTTCTTACAAATGGTTATATAAGTTACAAAACTTACCAGTGGTGGGTGTGGGGGTGCCGTTGGTGACCCTGGGCGGGGGTGCGGGGGAGTGCGGCGCGGGGGCGGGGGCGGGCGAGGTCGCGCGCGGCGAGGCGGAGCCCGCGCGGGGCGCTTCGCCTCCGAACACGTACGGGCTCATCACTGGCGTCTTCAAGAATTTACCGAAACCTGAAAATATTTCAATTTACTAATATTAGAAATGTTATGTTTGTTAGGAGATATCTCCAGAACAGGATAATGCATTTCGATAAAATTTTTCACAGATATAGAACATAGTTTAAAAGAACACATAGGCTACTTATTTATGTATGATTTTTCCGTGATATTTTAAAAGGCACGATTTTTAGAAACAGACTTTAGAGATAGTTCTTCAATCAGTTTGTAATTATTTAAATTGGTGTTTTTTGTATAAAATAAGCTATTTAGTATAAAAATCGCGTTAAAACAAACATTCACAAGTAAACACTTCAAAAATATAGTTACTGCACACATAAAATTGTACTAATAAGGCATTTTACCTTCAACAACCCTGAGGTCTCCGTCGTCGAGACAGACGCGGCCGTTCACCACCACGTATTGAGGACTGCCCACCACGTTCTGACCCTGAAATGTACAACAACGTTATGTAATGTTCATCGGCATCAGCTATCTATCCACTATTCCACATAGGCCTATCCAAGTAACATAATTCCTGATATTCAGTCTACCAATTATCGCCAAATAGCGCGTTTATTTCAAAGACATTTCTTTACTAAAATTGAGGAAATACTTGTATTTTTGTACGTATTGAAGTAAGTCAAAAACTACTGAACCCAATTCAAAAATTCTTGATCTATTATAAAAACTATGTTATCACTGAGTAATAGGCTATGTTTTTGTTTTTTTTTTTTTTTTTAATTTAACGCGGGCGAAGTCGCAAAGAACAGCTTGTTTGATATAAAATTAACCTCAGAGTGACCGAAAATAAAATACATTTAAATGTTTTTTTAATGACATCTATTGGAAATTAATTTAAATAGTCACATGTAGTTTTGAGGATCTATCAATAGATGGCGTTAGTAAGATAAAAATATTTCAATTCAAGTGACAACTATGCATACTCTATATATTTTTTACTCTTTGCCTTATAACACTGACATTGACAGCTGTAGTGATGGGACATGTGCTGTTGTGCTACGATATCGATACCTCAAAGATGTTAAAGTCGACAGCATGCGCGTGCGATGCTGCGGAGATGGTGCGCTGCAGACGCGGGTCCCAGACCACGAGGTCCGCGTCCGCGCCGACGCACACGCGGCCCTTGCGCGGCCACAGGTTGAAGACGCGCGCCGCCGTCGCACTTGATACTGACACGAAGCGGCACGGGTCCATTATACCTGATGGAAGGGTTTTTTTAAGATTAGGTAAAAAAGTAATGGAAATATTAAAGTGTAAATGCGTTGCCAGGGCTTTGAGGTTATGCTTATTAAAGTTATATGATAATATTGAGGCTTTATGTAATAGTAGCTTTTTGTGACTTTAAATACGAAATAAAAAATGTTAGTGTTAAATGCATGTTATGTATAAAGATCTTATGTTAGTATAAATAGAAAAAAAATATTATGGACATAATTTTCATGTATCAAAACTATACTATAGAGAAATTTCCTCCTTTTTGATATTCTCAAATCAAGCATTTAAAAACATAAAGAAATTACATACCAGTGTTGACTCCCTTTTGCCACAGTATCGCCATGCGGTCCTCTACGCCGTTCACACCGTTGGGGATCTTGGAGAAGTTGCCTTCACCCTTAGCCTTGTCCTTCTCGTGGAAAGTGCAGTTGTCGCTACCGATCAGCTGCACGCAGTCACTGGAATATAGAATATTTGTTATAATTCCTGCCTCTTCTCGCCTGTAAGATTTATTGCGGCAATAACATGTTACACAGAAAATGATCTTGCTATTATCAAATGTACAGGCGCTGACTATAAAATTAGCGCCCCCTTCCATATAAAATTGTTATGAAAAAATGAAGATATGTAATATAGATATCTGAATTTCTTGCGTCAATACTCACTCTGCGAGGGCTTCTAGCAACGCTTGCGGAGTGTCAGGGTCAGAGCGCAGGGGAGGGGACATCACGTGGCCCGCCGCGTGACGGAAACACGCGTTGCGGCAATGCGATCCTACAAAATAACATTGCCAATCAACGACATTATAAATAACTCTAAAATGTTAATTACTGCGTTGTAGGACTTTCAAGCCAACAAAATACACAATCTATGGACCTGCAGAGGCAACTTTAAGGCCGTAGTTTCTAAGCTGTTCCTAAAATCTACATTAATCCTTTTCAAACAGTTTCTATGAAAAAATTTCAACGGTTTTACCGTTTTACATTTTGACAAAATGTACAAGGGAACATACTAAAAGACATGTGCTAGTGCCAAATTTTGGAGCAGGATGTCATTTTTTTTTTTTTTATAATACGAGTTGACAAACGAGCAAGCGGCCACCTAAATCCACCGAAATGGAAAGCGACCGCTGCCCATAAACATCCGCAATTGCAGATGCGTTGCCTACCCTAATTGACGGAGGAGGAGACGCACATAAAGAGGACATTCCCCCTTCCTATGTGTCTCCTCCACCGTCAAATCCACTTTTCCCTCCCATCCTTTCCCCTTAAGAAAAGGGTGAAAAGGAAAAGGGACTAAAGTTAGGCCTCCGGCACCACACTCATCAGACGAAACGCGGAATTGCTTCCACTTCACGCCTGTTTTCTGTGTGGTCGTGGTATTACTGAGGGCGAGCCGGCCCATTCGTGCGAAGATGTTAAAGCGGGCACTACCACTGTTAGATGGAAGTGGAAGAAATTGTAAAGAAAAGCTCACATTATTACCATATGAGATACAGGCGAGATAGAGAGTGAGAGAGAGAGAGAGGGAGAGTGTGTGTGTGTGAGTGAGAGAGAGAGAGAGAGAGAGAGAGTAGAAAGTCTGGTAAATGTGTATTAGCAATATTAAACATACCATCAGTGCCGATAGTAGCGGCGAGTGTTTCTCCATACACAGGCTGTTTCTGCCTGGGGCGCGCGGCCGCCAGCGCCCGCACCGCGCTGCGGGACATCATGTGCACTATGTACAGAGGACTGTTGGCCTGAAAATAGTAAATATACATTTATAAACGTTTTTTCTTACTAATGTTATAATTGCTAAAGTTTAGATGGATGGATATTTGTTAGTTTGTAGCCTTAACGGTTGGATTTCGACGAAATTTGGCATAAATGTAGAGGATAGTCTGGAACGCAGACTACTTGCTTATTTCTGCACGGACGACATCGCGGGCTAACGCTAGTAATATTGTAAATACGAAAGTTTGGATGGATGGATGTTTGTTAGTTCCCTAAACGGCTAAAAGGGTGTTGCTAAAATTTTAAATAAATGTAGAATAGAGTCTGAAAGAGCATATAGACTATAAATTATTCTAAAACCATTTTTGAATTTCTCCCAATTTACGTGGTATTACTGGTCCAATCCAACTGTAACGGCCTTAAGTAAATAATCACTAAGGGCCTGTCCCACCAAATTGTAAATTGTGTGATAACAATCTAACGTGTAAAATATGTGATGAAATATCGGATTTTGTTCCCTTATCTGACAGTAACGTCATTTTTAAGCTATCTGAGCCTTTATCAGCTAGTGGTGGGACAGGCCCTAAGAGTAAAAATTCTTTAAATACCTGATTAGCGATGACGCAGGCTCTATTAACTGCCTCAGCCTCCACCTCCTCGTCGCGGGACAGCTCGTGGCCCTCAGGGTCCGTCTTCCCCGCAGCCAGCAGCTTCTCCGTGTTACGAGCTATTATATGCCCATTCTCGGCGTGCACCTGGAAACATAAGTGAAAATAACTAACTCTGTGCCCCAAGGAGGCAGGCACACATGGAAACAGTGTACTATGGTGTAAGCAAGAATACCTCAAGCGCATAACCCAAGGAGGTAGGCAGAGATTATGTTCTATTTAGTTCCTAGCACTCTCGCATCTTATACAAATAGTTTCCATATAAGGTTGCTGTTAAAATTAGTATACTAATAAGTAGAAAAAGATTGTACAAAAATACACAGTTTCAATTGGAAAGAAACAATTCGATAGACATTTACGACTAAGATGGATTTTGGTCGCGACTGTCTCCGTGTAGATTAAAAAAAAAAGTATATATACTGTGTTCTTCCAGACTTTTCTTTACATCTGTACTAACAAACATCCATCCATCTTACTTTAAATTGTACCACACCACGCAATTTTAACATTATTGTGATTTTTTTAATACCATAGGCAATGCTCCTAACTGCTTGCAGGTTTCCATAGCGATGTACAAATGGTAGTCATCCAGCATCCAGGTGTCTCTGTACGCCATGAACATCTTGAAGGAGTTGATGCCATACTCCTCGGAGCACAGCTGCTGCATCTCCTTGGCGACGCTGGGAGACCACCAGGTCACGCCCACGTGCAGCGCGTAGTCACAGCACACCTGGGATTTAGAGATTTGAGTCCCTTAGTCAGATATAGAGAGGTTCGTTGATTATCCAAGGGTTGCTGGACATAACCATGCTAATCCAGTATAGGCTGTTACATTTTTATATAAGGTGGTAAACGAGCGAGCGGCCATCTGAATTTGCCGAGAAAACGAAGGGATCGCTGCCCATATACATCTGCATTTGCATATGCGTTGCCTACCGTTAATCAACGGAGAAAAAGACGAACATAAACTAGATATTTTCCCTTCCCATGTTAGTAAATGGTGAAAAGGCAAAGGGATATTTGGCCTCCGGCACGAACACTCGTCTATCTTCTGTGTGGTGGTGGTATTGCTGGGGACGAGCCGAACCATTCGTGCGATGTTAAAGCGGCCGCTACAACTGCAAATGGAATAATCTTGGCCTAGACTACTCATGTGAGCTTGCAAGATTTTATAAACCTAACTGTTGTGCCTACTTGGGACTTGGCTTTATATGTCTTTGAATTCTACGCAGATATGAGTTATCTCACGTTTTCCTTCACCGTAAGAAGTTTATAATAAAATTCCATAATAGAGAAGTACAATAGTACAAGACGGGGATTGAACCTGGACGTGTAGTCTTACCCGTCCGGTCAACAATTTGACAAATGGATTTTGAAGTTCGGTAGAACCACTGTCAAAATTCCTATACAAAAACATATGTCATTCCTGAAATATATAACAGTGATAACAGTATGTTAATGTACAGGTACTTTGGACGTGGAAACGCAGTTTCTTCTTTTCCTGCTAAAATGTTACAATTCGTACCAAATATCTTGGATGCTTGGAACTTCGCAAAATGTAACGGCGCACATGAGAGAGTCCCTAAGCCGCCAAAATATTTGATAAGACATACTCGATTTACTGATATGAAATATTTAAAATAATTAGTGTAATATAATAATCAGATTGTAGTCTACCTTATTATCTGCCTTTTCCCTCCAATGGTTGTAAGCTTCGATAAGAGATTGACCTTTTTGCGGCAGCACGAAATCGACTGAAAACATACACGTGGATTCTTTAATGCTTATTTCCTAGCAAGCAATTAAAATTTTTGCAAGGTCGAGAAACATAAATTAGTAGTTCATTTTAAATAGGATTAATTTACCATAGAACTTTTAGGATATTCCATACAAAGACCCGGCCTTGTCAATCTGACCTTTCTTGAACAATAGTTGTATTCAAACTGTAGAGTATTGTATGGGACAATCTATGTTTATTTTGGTTAGGAAACTCTATTAATTTTACTCTAGCATGTGGGTTTTTAAACTATAAATGGTAGGATAGTTATTTAAATGGATTTTAGAATACCAATTCATAATATCATCGCCAAAGTTTACTAACTCGACATAAAACAGAGGTTCAGACACGTTTAGAGTACGCAGTCTCCCTGATTCCTATGAGCCTATATGGAGGTGCACATTACTCGATTTTTTGTTGTGCTAAACAGTTGAATTGGCTGCGAAACAATCTACAATCGCACAACAGTTGTGCTATAGTTTAGTCAAAGGTGTGCGCCTGTTCTCAGTTAATCACTTTATAAAATGACTAGGCATTACTGTCGGAATTACTGACTGACAATGTTACTTCTTGACAATGTATTTACTGTCATTAGTACTTACTGACAGTTGTGGTACCACCCGCGACCGCAGCCCTTGTCCCCGTGTAGAAGTCATCAGCTGTCTTCGCGCCCATCATCTCCAGCTCCAAGTGAGTATGAGGGTCGATACCGCCAGGTAACACCAGCTTGCCAGTCGCGTCGATCACCCGGGTACCGCCTGGGATGATGAGGTTGCGACCCATTTGCCTGGGGACAAGAGAATCGGATATTAGCCATTTTACATCTTGGTAAAAGAATAACACAAGAAAAACAGACGCATTGCGTACCTCCTTCTTTTGGGAAGACGGTTAAAAAACTACAGACACAAACGGTTAATGAATACCATTTAAAAATCACGCCTTTTTTTTGGGGCTATAAAAATCTGACTTCGTCACTGTAAGTGACCCGCTGAGTTATTTATTGTGTGATCTAAACGAGGCAATTCAATTTATCCAATTGTACCACATTCCATAACAAAAATAAATTAGATCGAGGTTAACAGGGTTCTATTGACCCCAAAAAGGAAGTTATGGGATCCCCTAGTTATACCAATCAGTTTTATTGTTGTTAATTTACCAAAACTTATTTAACTTTTTAAACCAGGGTAGATAAGATTTTCAGGTAGACCTTTTTTAATTAGATGTGGAAAAAATTTCTATTAATTTCTGCAAAAATCCTTTAATGTAGAGTTTTCTAGATTAAAATATACCTCCTCAAAAGGCAAAGGCGTAGCCCTACAGTCAATTCAGCCGTGTATAATAAACAATCTATAGGTAATTAAAAATGGCGGGCGTTTATGACAGTGACAGTTATGGTGACGGATGCTCGCTGCCGCATTAGCCGCTTCCGGCGCGCCACGCGGTTCGCATCTAAACGTTCACACATCGAACCCGTTCTCAATTTGAATAATTTTAAATTTGGAACTATTGAATGAATGCAATGTTGCCATTGCGTTTTTTATGTGTTTGCGGCCAGTAAAATTAAAAATCTACGTAATAGTTCTTTAAAGATAGTACATTACGTTAAAAAATCAAGTAATCAAATAAAAATATTAATCACTTTTTGTTCTGCTTTGTTATATCAATATTATGGAAACTATGTAATCTGTTAATGATGGTAGAATGTTGATGATTTGCAATTTTTTGTACACAAAACGTTTGTCTACAGCTATCATTAATTTTACTTTCAATAGAAAAAATGCTTTGATTGAACTTTTTGTATTTCTATATTTTCAATAATTTTAACAAAAAACAAATAATACTTTCTTTCAATAACTTAAAAAAACTGTCGATAACAATACGATTGTACAGATTCATAGTGGCAACACAACGTAATATGAACCAAAAAAAAATCATAAACATTTTAAAACTTGCGTAAGAAGACAGAGTTAAGATAAACGGAAGCTTTAGAATACCATCTTAGTTCTCCGAAGACCACAAAGGCAACAGTTATGTGTTTACAAATGAGAGACTATCTCGGAGGAGCAATGACGTTGATGTGTTGACAATGGACACGCGCGATGTTAGGGTTGCCTCTAGAGTTTGTATATTCAGGCGAATGATTCTTCGGGCGAGATTGGGTAGTTTTGATGAAAATTAAGGATGTCGCTTTCATTTCATCATCCTTTTAAGATCAAACATGGATTTTGTTTACCTCTAATTTTCGGGTTTACTTTGTAAGATTGTTGACAGCCCTATAAGCAATTTCGCGTAGCCTTTACTAACTTTAGTCATAGAAGTATTCCATTTGTTTTAAATGTGTGTTAATATTGTAATTTCCTTTTTTTACGTTTACGAAGTCTTTAGAATATAAAAATATAATAGTAAGTATTTTGTATTTCTCATGGATTTCCATAAAAAGGTGGTTTTGTTATTTCCGACATTATTAGTGTTGTCCTAATTATGAAAACGAACGCACCCCAGTATTAAAAATTTGCAATTAGTCTAATTGTCTGTCAGCAAGGTGACAAGAATTAGGGCGCGAAAGGTGGGAGGTGTTCGTCCCTTTGTATTAAAATAGATATTAATTCTATGACAGGCTAAAAATTGCTAAATAAAACATATTTGAACCATAAAAGAAAGTTTTAGCTGATTGACCTGCTTTTTCTTGTCATTTCCGTACTATTGAACTTTTGTAGTAGGTTTTCTCAAGTTCTCTATGAATTTGTGTATAATAGTATTAAACATGATAAATATATTTACCATAATTAGCAGTAGTAGAATAAATACAGTACAATTATGCTTGTAATTTTATAATCGCATAACAAGAGTTCCGCGATGTATTTTTCCTAGAGACTAAAAAAACTGATATATTCTCACCGCCACATTGTTGTTACTTAACATAGGAAAGTGTATATATACAATGAAACAGCATGAGAACATGCGTAATGATAATGACAACCCATCATTTCCCAGCTCGAGTTCCACAAACAAGCTGTCAGGGGAAATAACATAAGTCCCAACCCTTACGCTTTAAACTTGGGTAGACAGTGGTAATATTTTAACATCATATTATTATATAAATGCGAAAGATGAGTGTTAGAATTTAAGGCCTAAACTGCTGAACGGTTCACGATTTTAGAATATGTAGAGAATAGTCTGGAACAACACATAAGCTACTAGCATTTGTCTTTTATTACGCGGTCTTAACTCGACCAAAAGCTAGTATAAGTATAAAAATAGCTAGCCCGCCCTTGTCCCTAAGGAAAGTAGGCACAGTACGTGCTGCTCTTCCATACATTTCTATCAGCCGTCATATCTGAATCCACTCCCTTTATATCCCTCTTTACAAATCCATCGATACTTTCTACGGTCTTCTACCTTTGTAGCCATCCACAATATTAACACTTTCTGGTTTATGTCTCCTTTTGATATTGTAAATGTGAAAGTTGGAACGGATATTAGAGTTTGTAGCTCAAACTGCTAAATAGATCTCGATGAAATTTGACATTTAGAGGATAGACTGGAAGAACACGACGGAAGTTAGTAATGTAAGTGCTAATTTTATGATGACAAAAATACAACAAAAACAAATATTTTTGCATCATATCCACAAATAGCTGTGAACGAATCGTACACCTACGTATATGCCAGCATTCGATATGCAATCATTGTTCTATACAAGTTTATAAGTAGTAAATTACGATCTTGTTAGAGGACAGCAACTAATTCTCATATAAAAATCTTAAGTTTATAAAAATACTAGCTGTTCCCATGCGACTTCATACGCATAAGGTTATAAAAATTTCATTTTGTTGTTCACATTTGTCAAATTATCAATTGCAAATGTCAAAATGTCATGATGTCAAACCATGGCAATCTTGCTTCCTTAATGTTGGCAACAACTTATGGTCTCTTTCCCACATTAGGGTTTTTATCCAAAATATTTACCCCTAAGTTTAACGGCGTGAAAATACATAGCCTAAAGCGTGACGTAAGTGTAGGGCTTTTTATTAAAAAAGAGTTATTCGAATATATGCTGTGATTGCTGACATCTTAGGCAACAAAGAAGTGTGTGTTTACGCTTTATTATATTAGTATAGATTGGTTTTTTGCCTCTATTTTTACTGTCGCACTCAGAATAATTAAATGTTCACTAAGCTAACGTTTTCGAGTTTTCGTAAATCTAAAATCATGTTTTTTTATTGTTTATTAAAATATACATAGTACAAATTGTACAAATTGTATGCACACAAAAATGAGTCTTAAGCTATAAACAATAAAATATAAATTCACAAGAACGAGTATGCATCGGAAGAAAGTCGTAATAAACAAGGAAACGATATGCGAACATGCACAATGAACTTGACCTGGCATTTTAATGTTTGCCGAAAATGTAACTCTTTCTCCAAGGTAATAGAGAATAGAATTGAATAACAAAGTATTTAATAGTCTAGGGTTGGGAATGGAAAACGCAATGTTCTTTATTCAAAAATAAACTTTATTTTTAAGAGCACAATATTGAATATTAATTGATTGTTGGATTTCGTGATGTGCGTTTTGTTTATTAGATTTTCTTAATCAAAAAGGTTTTATAATGTTATTGGGTTATTAAAAGAATCGTTGATTTTTTCCCTTCTATTGAAGGTTTACAAAATTTAACGAAATTACTGTTATGTATGGAAGTCGTCTAATGACAATATTTCCTTCATTACTCTATATTCTATGAAAATATTAAAAGCTACGATCGAAAGTGTTCTTTATTCATAGGCAATAAAGTATAAAATACAATGACATGTGTATCGCGTGACGTAATAAGGGTGGAACGAATGTTAGACGATAACGGGATCTCCCAATGTTTCCTATATCCGAGTGTACTATTTACTAGAAGATATACCGTAATTAAGCTCCAAAACATAATAAAATCACATGTACTTGGTTTATTTTACTAATAACGGTAACGGAATTATTTTATTTCGCTTATGTTTGCAAAGATAAGTTTGTTGCGAGTAATCTCCGGAATAGATGGAACGAATTCGATAGGACTTTTGGAACTGATATATGCAAGAATGTTACAGGGTTTTTATTTACGCTGACAAAGTCGCGGGCGACCGCTAGTAAAATGGTTCTATTCCAGTGTGCAGCGTCGACAACCGTTGAACAATTTTATCATCAATCACAACATACTGTACTGTTTACGGTTTGTTTTTACGGTTTTTCCCTCGGTTCACTACGAAGATGTACCTACGTAAGTAGATACAATAAAAATAACTAACAAATTATCGTTTTATAGCAATGACAAAAACAAAAGCCAATAGGCAATCGCTACACCCAAAGAATATGATTTTTATTATAATTCACTAGCTGTTACTCGCGACTGCGTCCGCGTGAAATCAAAAAATAAAATCTATGTTACTCACAAATAAATTAACTTTTTAATAGTGAAAGATTTTTTAAAATCGATCCAGTAGTTTTTGAGTTATTTCGTTACATAAAAAATCCAAAAATACAATTCTTTCCTCTTTAGAATATTATAATAGATTAAATATGATCTCGACAAATAAACATTAAATAACAGTTAAAAAGGTAAGAAAGGATGTATTTTACGAGTTTTTTTCTTTCATTATAAACATTGGCAGGTTTATTACAGAGTTGGCGGGAACAATAACGACGTCACTAATTAGAGCGGGCAGGTGCTTGACCTGTGCTATTGTTAAACTGACGGTAAAGAATACGGCCTCTAGCACACTGGGAACACAAACAGATAGC